TCATCCTTGAACATGCTGCAAACCTCAAACCTGTATGTGGTCTGGGTCTGTTGTCACCATTGAGGACCCCTGGATATGGGTGTTCATGTCAGTCATTGAGGATGCTTATTGGTGTGAGTCTAATGAAAAGAGCCTGCGAGCCTATGAGGCACGTTTGTGTGTATGGAAGCCTTTGAGTATATGGGAGTATGTGTTTATATGCAGCTAGGGGATGACAGCGAGACCATCCCTAGCTTGTGGGGACTGAGGGTGGGCAGTGGGGGGTGGAGGGCGCTGTCAGACGGCTGCAAACCTAAGACGTCAGGAGCATAACTTGATTTGGTGATTTGGCCTGAATAACCCTCTCAAAATAGAAAAATCAAGGACCCAGCATGGAGGCAGCCTGTCTGGGCTCAGGCTGGTAATGAGGACTAACAAGGGTTGATGGAGCCTGAGAGCAATGGGCTGAGATCGCCTTGGGCTGCCTGGCACCCTGGGCCCTGCAGCCATCCAGTGCTGCCCAGCCTGGCCTAATGCTATAACGCACAGAGATTCTCATTGATAAAGGCCCAGAGAAAGGGACAAAACATCTTTGCCAGCCACAGTAGAAGGGCAGTGGGCTCTCAAGAGCCATGATAGGATGCTGCTTTTGTAGACTGGCAAAGTAGTTGGGTTTCTATGTGGCACTTTCCAAAGGTTACTCAGTCAAATGTCCATAGAGCAGAAGATCTTACCTATCCTTTAAAAATAATATCCGGATGGGTATGGTGGCACATGCCTTTAATCCCAGTACTCAAGAGGCAGAGGTTGGTGGAACTCTGATAGATCAAGGCTAGCCTGGTCTACATAGCAAGTTCTAGGCCAGCTGGAACTGTCAAAAGAAGAAAGAAGAAAGAAAGAAAGAAAGAAAGAAAGAAAGAAGAAAGAAAGAAAGAAAGAAAGAAAGAAAGAAAGAAAGAGAAGAGAAGAAAGAGGAAGGAAGAAAGGAAGGAAGGAAGGAAGGAAGGAAGGAGAGAAAGAAGTTAAGAAAGAAAGGAAAGAAGAAAGGAAGGAAAATAACAGACCCAAACAGGTGCACAAACAATTGTGATCTATTCCCTTTTTTTTGTTTGCATGAAATGATTTAAAAAAGAGAGATTAAAGAGATAAAAAGTGGTCATTTGGGTTTGGGGTGGCAGAGGTCACAAAGAGGCACAGCAGTATTTGGGACATTGAGAGAAGAGTGTGTGTTTAATTGCACTGTTGGTAACACAGTCTGAAACATTTATCAGAACTCATCCAAGTGCACATTCTTATAAGATGGTGCACTGAATTCCGTACAGACGTTTTTCAACTGAATAAACAATTTTACAAGTAAAGCCACATGTCTCAAAGACCCCTTCCAGCTGCGGCAAATCTTGACAATTCCCAGAGTTGCCTTCTCTACGTCATCAAACATTCTTCACTCTTCAGCACTACTGAGATTCTCCAGGAAAGATGAAATCCATGCTTGCTAACAATACTTCCTTTGGAGCAGGCAGTCTGTCACCTTTTATGGGCCACTGGCTATTAGCAGCCTGTAAATCAATGAACTCTTCCAAATAATATTTTTAAAAGAAAAGTAAAATACATAATATTTGAAGAGGACCAAATCATGTTAAAATATGCTTACTAAAATTTTCTTGAAATTTTAGGTGAAGTAATGTGTTCTGTGATTATTACACTCAGTGACAAGACCCAGTGAAAGTATAAAAATCTATCATTTCACAAGATGAGCTTAAGCTATACTTCAAATATTTGCAATAATAGTAAATAAGATAGCTATGATTTCTACTACCTTGGCCCCCTGTGGACCACTGCTTCTGTTTGCTGATTCTGAAGAAAGACTTCCCAGATTTCACCTCAGTGATGCTAGTCTCTTATTAATTAATCACAGCTGATTTTTCAGCACCAGCTAACCAGCATCGATTGTCCCAGTTAAACAGATTTCACTTCTAAAAATTCTTAAATTGAAATATACCACACAAATGCCTAATGGAGTTGTTACTTCCCTCTGAAACTTCACAGGCCATGCCGCCATCATCTCCATTTCTCTCACCATTATCTTCCACTTTCCCACAAAATACCTCACTAAGTTCTGAGGGCTCAACAGCTTTTCCAGCCTAAAGTTCCAAATGCTTCCACAATCCTCCCTAAAACAACATGATCAGATCTGTTATAGCAATAGCCTATGATCCGGATACCAATTTCTATCCTAGTTTGCTTCTTTATTACCGTGATAAAACACTGGCCGAAACCAGCTTGAGGAGGAAGGGGTTTATTTCAGCTGACAG